CCCCCCCCCCCCCCGTGTTGGTTAAGTGATGCGGGGCGGGGCGGGGCGGGGCTGGGCGGGGCGAGGTGAGGTGAACCCCGTGGGAATATTGGTCAAGCATTCATATTGCTGAGCTGTAACTTCAGTTCTTTGTAATCGCTTTTTAAAGCCGGAAATTTAATGCCGTTCTCTGGCACTTCTCTGGGAAATACTCAGCGACCATTTATTTATTTAGTGGTCCTGCAGATGGAACTTAGGGCATACTGCGTGCTAGGTAAGTGCTTTCCTATTAAGAAATACCCCTAGCCCATAATAGATTTTTAAATAATTTAGGCAGTCATTAAAAACCCTTCAAAATTTAAACCCTTGCATGACTCAAATCAAAGCGATCCTTTCATTCTTTTTAAAAAGTTACTTTATCCAGCGCACGTTGTATGTTTTTATGTTTTGTTTGTTTAGTTTGAGATAGGGTTGTTCACAGCATAGTCTTCCTGGCTGGCCTGAAACTTAGTAAGTATCCCAGGCTAGCCTCTAACTTGTGGCAGTCTTCCATTGGATCCTAATTATCTCTAAAGCAGGGTGATTATTATTGGTTCCATTTTATAGGTGGATATTGAAGACCACACAGGCCAAGTAATTTGCTCTAGGTCCTACTTCATTTGTGTTTGACATGGATATAATATGTATTTAAACATGTGCCTTTTAAAGAATTTAAATCCTGAGTTAATGTGGATAGGCAAGAGAATCAATGGAAATAATTTATGTTAAAAGCCTCATGTTATGATTCAGTAAAGCTTCTTTTCTTGAAAATTTTTGAAAGGTGAATTCCCACTTGACATTAAATAACTTCATGGGTTTTCCCCCAAAGTTCAGATCAATGTGAATTGGTTGCTTAGTATTAGATTTCAGTTCTAAAAACAGCAAGTGTATTCTAAATCTATTCAACATAATTATCTCCATTAATGGAAGAGTATAATTCTCCAATAATGAAAGAGTGGTGTGTGTATTCTTTCTTTCTTTTTTTTTAGACTTGTCAGGGATGGGTATAGGGTTGTATGTCATTCAGAGCACAGACTTTTGCAACTAGGCCTGCTATGTTTATATACACACACATATATGTTTATATATATGTATACATGTGTGTATATATGTATAATAATTTTAAAATTTATTTTTTAAAAGGTGTTTTTAAACATTTATTTTCTATATGTGTTTTGCTTGAATGTATGTATGTGTACCATGTGCATATAGTATCCTCAGAGGCCAGAAAAAGGTTCTGGATCTCCTGGGACTGGAATTACAGATGGTTGTATACCACCAGTGGTAGGAATTGAACCCTGGTCCTCTGAAAGAGCAGTCAATGCTCTTAAAACCTGGACCATCTCTCCAGCCCCGTTATATATTTTTAGTCATCATTTTAAAATGTGTTTTGCTGTTGGTATTTATGGCAGTAACTTTTGAAGCTAGAGTATTAAGCAGCTTCTATAGTTGTTTGCCCATAACTGTTTATCAACCACATAGGAGCTACTATCTCAAATGAAAACACCAAACCAAACTGAAAAAAAAATGAAGATAAGTGACTGTCTTCTAGGTTCAGCAATGCGGTAGAAATTAATTAGAGTTAATCTAAAATTGAAACTTTAGGTCAGATAAAAGCCTAAGAAACAAGTTCATTCCACAAAAAAGATTTACATATGACTTTATACCTACTCTGTTTTTTTCTCCTTAAAAGTTGAATAAGATTTTTTTTTGGAGCCAGTGAGATAGCTCAGTAGGTATTTTTATTTTGTGCATATGGATTTTTTTTTTTTTTTTTTTTTTTGGTTTTTCGAGACAGGGTTTCTCTGTAGCTTTGGTGCCTGTCCCGGAACTAGCTCTTGTAGACCTGGCTGGCCCAGAACTCCCAGAGATCCGCCTGCCTCTGCCTCCCGAGTGCTGGGATTAAAGGCGTGCGCCACCACCGCCCGGCTGCATATGGATGTTTTGCCTAGATGTGCCTCTGTACACTTGTATGCAGAGGCCAGGAAAGGGCATCAGATCTCCTGTAACTGGAGTTTTTATTATTATTAATAGTATTATTATTATTTTAGCACTTCATGTACCTAAGTGTTTTGCCTGTGCACCACTTGTATCCAGTGCTCTCTGAGGCCAAGAGAGGTCTTTGGATCCCTTGGAGTTAGCGTTACTGACAGTGTGAGATGCCATGTGTGTGTACTAGGAATTGAACTAGGGAAGAGCGGTCACTTTCTTAGTCACTGAGCCATCTCTCCAGCCCCCTAATCTCACTTTCTTTTTCTTTCTTTTTTTTTTTTTTTTTGTTTTTTGTTTTTTTGAGACAGGGTTTCTCTGTGGTTTTGGAGCCTGTCCTGGAACTAGCTCTTGTAGACCAGGCTGGTCTCGAACTCACAAAGATCTGCCTGCCTCTGCCTCCCAAGTGCTGGGATTAAAGGCGTGTGCCACCACCGCCTGGCGAGATCTTTTAATCTGTGTGGTTGATAAACAGTTCTGGGTAGACAACTAGAGAAACCGATTATATTCTGGTTTCCGAAATCACTGGCATAATGTGTGCTGGATAAAATTCATGAGTGCTCTTGTAAGACAAGAGGGCAGCGACAAGGGCTAGGTGTGCAAGAGGACTGGGGGATAGTCCAGTGGTAGAGCATGTGCTTAGCTTACAGCGAGTCCCAGTACTACCAAGGGAGAGGGAAGAGAGAAACACTCCCTTCTCTACTTGTAGGTCTATAAATCTTACAGGACTCAGATACTATCATCTCTTAGTGACGTTTCCTAAGTCTTCCAGGAAGGCTTTTTAAAAAGACAAATATTTGTTCAAAAAGTACACACAGGAATGACTAGTTTGCGATAGGCAGTAGTTTATGACAGGAAAGTTAGGTAGGACCGGGTTATGAGGACTTTACAAATAAGGAAGGGATGTGGTTAAATGTATGGTTTTTTTTTGGGGGGGGGGGGTGTTTCAAGACAGGGTTTCTCTGTAGCTTTGGAGCCTGTCCTCGAACTCCCAGAGATCCGCCTGCCTCTGCCTCCTGAGTGCTGGGATTAAAGGCATGCACCACCACCACCCGGCAAATGTATGTTTTCTTAAGCCACCTGCTGAATGGAGGGTAAGTTAGGAGAGTTTAAGCACATCAGATTATAGTGCGTCTAAGCCTCTGAGGCTGGTAGAGCATCTGCGTGGTGTCTTGCATTTTGATAGTGACAGTTAAACAAATTGATTGGTACAGTAGAGCGTGAGGGTGTTTGCTGAGCATGGTGAGGTTCTGGGATCTATCTCTAGTGTGACTAAAAAAATCTAGAATAAGTGGTAAAGAATCACTTTGTAACATTGGTAAAGTTTCTCTGATCCTATGGAAATGAATAATTTTATTTTATTTTATTTATTTATTTATTTTTTTTCAAGACAGGGTTTCTTTGTATAACAGCTCTAGCTGTCCTGGAATTCACTTTGTAGATCAGGCTGGCCTCGAACTCACCGAGATACACCTGCCTCTGCCTCCAAAGGCATGTGCCACCATACTCAGCTCCTTCCTTTCTCCCCCCTCCCTCCCTCCCTCCCTCCCTTTTTCTCTCTCTCTCTTCCTTCCTTCCTTCCTTCCTTCCTTCCTTCCTTCCTTCCCCCCTTCTTTTTTTTTTCCTTTTTATTTTTCAAGTTAGGTTTTGTTTTTGTGTGTGTATAGTTGTGTAGCCTTGGCTGTCCTAAAACCTACTCCGTAGACCAGGCTAGCCTTAAACTCACAGAGATCTACCCGTCTCAGCCTCCAGAATGCTGGGATTAAAGATGTGCACCACCACTACCACCAGACAATTTTTTTTATTGATTCTTTGGGAATTTCACATCATGTACCCTGATCCCACTCATTTCCCAGTTCTTCCATGTCTGCCCTCCACCCTTGTAACCCCACAAAATGAAATAAAAAAATTAAAACTGAAATTGAAAAAAAAAGCATCTCACTTGTCTCCAGTTCCGCCATGTGTGTACCACTTTGCTCCTCCTTCTTTCCCATGTATCTGTCACATAATTGTTTGTCTAGTGACATTAGGTGCTGCGGTGTGTCATACAGTATACCATTTTACACAAACAGCTTTGCTTGCAAATGTTCATTGCAATGAGTTCATTCAATGGTCTGGTTCAGGTGGCTTCTGCTATCCATCAATACTGGACCCTCACCGACACTCCTCTCAGCTATCCTGCTGTCGCCCCAGTCATGGAGATCCTGTGGTTAAGGTTCAGCCACTTCTCCCAAACCCAGGCCACCAGGGTCAGCTCTCCAAAGTCCATGCCATTGGGGCCAGCTCTCTTTGGCCCATGCCACTGAGGGCACCACCTTTGGTAGCTAGAGAGGGGTGGGATCAGTTCTCCTGCTGTAGCCGTGTTGAGGACCAGCAAGGACACAGCAGGGCCCTTGGACATCAGCATGGCTTCAGGTGACAGCACAGACCATAGGCTTCTGCATGACTTTTGGTGGTAATATGGACCAAGAGCATCCATACAGACCCTGGCTGCCGTAGGACCATGGAGGTCCTAGACATGGACAAGACATGGCCTGCAGCACAGGCCACTTGCCTCAGCCTGTTCCGCACTGAGCTGCAGTCTCCAGTTCTGCCTCTCTCCACAGCATTTGAACTGCTCAGCTTCCCTTTCTTGCTCATCATAGTGGCAGGATGTA